CGGATCCCCCCTCTCGGTCCCCTTGCCATCTTAGGATCATGTTTTCGTGGGCCATCCGGGAGCCTCTTGAGCCCCTCTGGCATTCTCTAGGGCTGGTTTTCGGTTATCTCTGGCAGTATTTGGGTTATCGTCGACAGGATCTTGGCGACCACCTTTGGCAAGATTAGAGATATTTTGGGAGTTCTGGGGCAGTTTTGAAGCCATTTTGAGACACCTTCGGAGGAGCACTGCCTTTTGATTGTTATCAGTGGCGGTAGTAGACACGGTCACACCCGTTGACACTAACAAAGGAGGCAGAACAGGCGACAAACAGAACATATTGAAAACAGATATTGCATTTCAGTGGATTTTGCTCTCTCGGAGCGTCGTATGATCCGCTTGATTTGGGCCGTCTCAGGGCCGCTTTGCGGCAACCTTGGGCCGTCTTGGGCGCTTCGAGTCCTCTTCGGGCCATCTTGACGCGCACCTGGAGGCCTCTTCGGCCCTCTCGGCCGCCCAGCGACGTCCCTTTGGAGGTCCTGGGGCCGCCCAGAGCGGCCAGGACACTGACGCTCACCCCGCCTCCCCCCCCCCCCCCCGCCAGCTTTTCCGGGGCCGTGGCCTCCCCCCCCACCCCCCCCGCAGGTGCCGTCCGAACGAGTCAGGGCTGGAGAGGCAACAGATCAGGAGGGGGAAGGAAACAGACACGATTGACCGCAGCACGCCACAATAACAGATACAAGCACAGGCCTGCCCGCCCGGCGCTGGGGCGGCGGGGGCCGCCGCGGCGGCGACGACCGGCGAGAGGACCGGGCGCCGCGCGCGGCCGCGCCCGAGAGGGCCCCACCACGCCTCCCTCTCTTCGTTTCGCCTCCCTTCCCTCTCTCCTCTCTCTCTTTCTTTTTTTATTTCTTTCTTTCTTTCTTTCTTCATATTCCCTCTCTCATCTCTTTTTTTATTTCCTTCTCTCTCTCTCTTTTTTCCCAACCATCCTGTGGTGTTGGGTCCTCGTTTTGAAGAGACGGTGCCCCGCGTCTCCTTCCTCCTTCCTCCTCCTCCGCCTCCTCTCCCTCTTCCTTGCGTTTCACCCGCCCAGTACAGCGCTTCGTAGCCCCATAGGGAGCTCCGCCGAAGGCCCCAGTGCTGCCGCCCGCATGCGTCCCGCACACCCAATTCGGCACACCCCTCACACGTTTCGTGGCCCCATAGGGAGCCCCACCGAAGGCCCCAGTGCTGCCGCCCGCATGCGTCCCGCACACCCAATTCGGCACACCCCTCACACGTTTCGTGGCCCCATAGGGAGCCCCACCGAAGGCCCCAGTGCTGCCGCCCGCATGCGTCACCGCACACCCAATTCGGCACACCCCTCACACGTTTCGTGGCCCCATAGGGAGCCCCACCGAAGGCCCCAGTGCTGCCGCCCGCATGCGTCCCGCACACCCAATTCGGCACACCCCTCACACGTTTCGTGGCCCCATAGGGAGCCCCACCGAAGGCCCCAGTGCTGCCGCCCGCATGCGTCCCGCACACCCAATTCGGCACACCCCTCACACGTTTCGTGGCCCCATAGGGAGCCCCACCGAAGGCCCCAGTGCTGCCGCCCGCATGCGTCCCGCACACCCAATTCGGCACACCCCTCACACGTTTCGTGGCCCCATAGGGAGCCCCACCGAAGGCCCCAGTGCTGCCGCCCGCATGCGTCCCGCACACCCAATTCGGCACACCCCTCACACGTTTCGTGGCCCCATAGGGAGCCCCACCGAAGGCCCCAGTGCTGCCGCCCGCATGCGTCCCGCACACCCAATTCGGCACACCCCTCACACGTTTCGTGGCCCCATAGGGAGCCCCACCGAAGGCCCCAGTGCTGCCGCCCGCATGCGTCCCGCACACCCAATTCGGCACACCCCTCACACGTTTCGTGGCCCCATAGGGAGCCCCACCGAAGGCCCCAGTGCTGCCGCCCGCATGCGTCCCGCACGCCCAATTCGGCACACCCCTCACACGTTTCGTGGCCCCATAGGGAGCCCCACCGAAGGCCCCAGTGCTGCCGCCCGCATGCGTCCCGCACACCCAATTCGGCACACCCCTCACACGTTTCGTGGCCCCATAGGGAGCCCCACCGAAGGCCCCAGTGCTGCCGCCCGCATGCGTCCCGCACACCCAATTCGGCACACCCCTCACACGTTTCGTGGCCCCATAGGGAGCCCCACCGAAGGCCCCAGTGCTGCCGCCCGCATGCGTCCCGCACACCCAATTCGGCACACCCCTCACACGTTTCGTGGCCCCATAGGGAGCCCCACCGAAGGCCCCAGTGCTGCCGCCCGCATGCGTCCCGCACACCCAATTCGGCACACCCCTCACACGTTTCGTGGCCCCATAGGGAGCTCCACCGAAGGCCCCAGTGGCGGCGCTCACATGCGCATGCGCCCCGCACACCCATTTGGGCACATCCCTGACAGGTTTCGTGGCCCCATCCACCGGAGGCCCCAGTGGCGGCGCTCACATGCGTCACCCACACCCACCCAATTCGGCACACCCCTCACACGTTTCGTGGCCCCATAGGGAGCTCCACCGAAGGCTCCAGCGGCCGCGCTCACATGCGTACCCGCCACCCATCCCAGCACGCCCCTCACAACAACAGGTTTCGTGGCCCCATAGGGAGCTCCACCGAAGGCCCCAGTGGCACCGCCTGCATGCGTCACCACCCGCACCCAATTCGGCACACCCCTCACACGTTTCGTGGCCCCATAGAGAGCTGCACCGAAGGCCCCAGTGGCGGCGCTCACATGCGTCCCCGCCACACATCCCAGTACACCCCTCACGCGCTTCGTGGCCCCATAGGGAGCTCCACCGAAGGCCCCAGTAGCGGCGCTTACATGCGTCTCCGCCACCCATCCCGGCCCCCCCCCCGCAGCAGCATCATGTTTCGGGGACCCATAGGGAGCTCCACTGGAGGCCCCAGTGGCGGCCTGCACATGCGTTTCCGCCACCCATGTCGGCACGCCCCGCGCGTGTTTCATGTCCCCATAGGGAGCTTCGCCGAATGCCCCAGTGGCACCCATCTCGGCACACCCCTCACACGTTCCGTAGTCCTATGGGGAGTTCCATTGAAGATGAAACCCGCAGCTGCGGTACTGACATCTGCATATGGTTGGGTTCTTCGCCAGGCTAATTTTTTCTCTCTCTCTCTCTCTCTCTTTCTATCGTATCTGTCTCTTTCTCCATTTCTAACAGATCTTTCAGCATGTATATCTTGAGGGCTTCGCCCTCTGCCGCTGGCGCGGGCGGCTGCACGGGGTCTCCTTGGGGGTCTACTTGGGGCCTCTTGGGGGTCTCCTTGGGGCATTTTGGAAACGATACTTTGGGTCTCTTGGGGGTCTCCTTGGGGCCTCTTGGGGGCCTCTTATGGCCTCTTGGTACCTTCCTGGGGCCTCCTGGGGCCCTCTCGGGGCGGAAAGGTCGAGTTATCGGTTTGTGGACTCCCTCTTGGGCCTCTCTTGGGCGTCTTAGGGCCCTTTTGGGCCGTCCGGGGCGCCTCTTGGACTGTCTTGGGGCCCTCCTCGGCCGTCTTGGGGCCGTCTTGGGGGCCTCTTGGGCCGTCATGGAGGCTTCTAGGGCCGTCGTGGGGCGATCTTCGGAACCTCTTGGTCAGTCTCGGAGCGTCGGAAAGCCGAAAAGGCGAGAAGGCCCAAAACCTTTGAGAACATCCGGAAAATCATTGATTCTTGCTTCGTGGGGCCCTCTTGGGAGGCTTTTTGGATGCCTCTTGGGCCGTCTTGGGGCCATCGTAGACATCTTACGGCCATCTTGGCTTCCCGAGGCTCTCTTCGGAGCCTCTTCGGGCAATCTTGGAGGCCTCTCGGGCCGTTCTGGCCGCGCGGTGGCGTCAGCATGAGAATCCTGGGACCAGCGGGATTTGAGGTTCACCCCCTCCGGTTGGCTGTTTGGTGACGCGGCGGGGCCCCCTAGCAGATAGTAAATAGGAGGCAAGAAATAGGACTGGAGAGACAAAAGGCCAAACAACTAATGGCAACACAACACATGACAGCAGACCGCACACACCTTCTCAGCCTTGCGCCCCCAGAGGGGGCTGGAGAGGGTCAAGACGTCCGCGCTTGCCAGCCCGAGGACGCTGTGCTGAAACAGACACACAGAGCGTCCCTAGGACGGTGCCAGGCAAGCCAATCTCCAGGCGGCGATGATGAGGTTTGAGGTCCACACGGCCAGGAGCGGAGGGGAGGATGGAGGAGGGACGAGAGGAGGGATAAGACGAGAAGATGGGAGGGGAGGAGGAGAGGAGGGCGAGGAGGGTGGGGCTGTGCATGGTGGGCCTGGTCCGATGTAGCTCAGCGGAGCCCGGGCGCCCGAGGAATGCCGAGGCGCCCCAGGGTAAGTGTTTCTCGATTGCCACGCGTCAGAATGCACATCACCTGTGACGGGGCGGTCTTACAGAGGCTCAGATGGTCCGTGGGGTCATGTGGCGTCGTCCTCGCGGTTCGTCCCGACCCGTGGAGGAAGCCCTGGAGGAGGTGCTGCCCTCACCTCCGCAGGGCACAACGGGAAACGCAGGGCGCTTCACTCATCTGAGATGGGCGAAGCGGCCAGCATTCGGAGACCCAGGCATTCGACTGCTCCAATTTTTTCGATGCGTGGGCCCCGAGGTCCAGACCGCTTCCCCAGGGCTGGTTTCTCGCCCTGAGCAGTTTTTTTGACGCTACCGAGGCCCAGCGAAGGCCCCCAGAGGCCGAAAACGACCAAAAAACACCTGCTTTAATTTCTCTTGTGCGTCGGATCTCTGGGGATGAATCATCTCCCAATGCTGGCCACGGAGGGGAACGGCGAAAGAGCAGCAGCCACACGCCCCCCGCCGAAGGCGGGCCCCCCCCCCCCGGAGCCCGTTGGTCGGCCAGGCGCAGTGACCCAGACCCCGCCTCCAGACCGGGCGGGACCCCCAGCAGGAGGAGGAGGAGGAGGAGGAGGAGGAGGAGGAGGAGGGGCAAGAGGAGGAGGAGGAGGGGTGAGTTTGTTCCCCGCCGGGAAAAACAAGAGGGGCGGAGCAAAACTACTTTAGAACCCCTGAGGTTTTTTGAAAGGTCGAGAAGGCGCACACGTTCCCGGCGGTCGCTACTGCACGAGGGGTGAGCAAAGCAGTGCTCCCCACATTGGCCAGTCTTCGGCCGACACTCCCGACGGCCCCCGCCACCTGGGCCAGGCGAGACCCCGAGGCCGCAACTGGCGTGGGCCCACGCAGCCAGGACACGGCAGAGCCAGCCAGAGGCGGGCAAGGCCCGAGTCGGGCGTGTCTTTTGACGGTGCCCTAGCGTCAGCGGGCGCCATCACCCCTGATGGAAAGAGGCAGCGGCGCAGCCCCCGCAAAGGCCACGACTCTGCGGAAAATCACTTCCTCGAGGCACCGATGCGCCGCACCACGCCGAGACGAGGGGACGAGGGGGATACGAGGGGAGGGAAGGCAGAGGATTCCCCTGAGGGCTTTCTGGTCTGAGCACTTGGGAATCACAAGAAACGCATTGAATCACAAGAAAGCTCGCCGCTTGGGCCCCGCCGCCGGCCCAAACGGCGAGCATAAATCGGGCGTAGCCCCGCGCGCATTCGAACGCACACACTTCGTCCTCGTACTACTCGTATTCCTCCCCATCCTCCTCCCCATCCTGATCGTCGTCGTCACCCTCCTCCTCGTCCTTCTCCTCATCCGCCTCGTCTGCCTTCTGCTCCAGCTCCGCCTCGTCGACCTCGTCCAGGACCGCGCCATCGGTTGCGCCCTCGGCATCGTAGAAAGGACGATTGATGCGAAACTCGCCAGATCCCACTGTGCCGATGTGAGTCGGAACCTGAGATCGATAGCATGCATTCGGCAGAGCGGCCGATGGCGGACATGCCGAAAGCAATGGAATGCGACGAGGGGGAGGAGGGAAAGGGAAAAGGACGGAAAAGGGCGCGGGATGGGGTCGAGAGCTCCTGGAGGATGGGTGTGCCCATCCGAGGGAACGGTGCACCCCCACTCCCCTTGTGACGACGAGGTACAAGCTCTGTGGGAAAAGAAGACCCTACCCCCTCTCCCCGATCCCCCCTCGCGCGAACCCGCGCGTCGCTCGAAAGCGATTGGGCGCTCCTGCTCTCTCGCGCGCGTGCATGCGCAAAGCAGGCGTATGTACGGCGCCGCGGACGTAGCGTGAAGAGATTGAGCTCGCGCTCAAGAAAGGAGTCACAGTTTTTGCAGGATCACCGCCGCGATATTCTCGAGCGGCTGGAAGCGCGGGAGCGTCCGTGGCGAAATAAACACGGGTCGCGCTCGAAGCTGGAAACCCCGAGCTTGTCGAAACGCAACGAGGCGCAGGGCGCCTCGAAGACCGGATGCTGCATGGGAGTGGGTAGCGTGGCGAGACGAGAACTAGACACCCGACGCTGCAGGACTGCGAAGTGAAACGCGCGCGCTCGAGGTCTGTCGACGTGACGCGGGCGCGAGAGCAACGCGGAGCGCGTGAATTTTGTCCTGGGTCCAATTCGCACAGATAGTTGAGAGATCGGCCGTGGCCGCCGGGATTCGCACACCTTAGCCACCAGTGGCACCAAGTGCCGGTACATCTCAGCACTGCAACCTGCAAGGGTGCAGTTTCACGTTGATGGAAGATGCAACATGTCGTGAATGCTTTGCCCGCGCGGTGCGTTGCCTGAGCCCCATGGTTTTTCTCGGGGGTCGGCGGCAGAGAATAACGCCGTCTCCAATCGGTTGCGCCATAGGTTGCGCCCTCGGCGGCCGAGATTGAAACCGTCTCCTATCGGTTGCGCCATGAGTTGCGCACTCGGCGTCCGAAAATAAAACCGTCTCCTGTCGGTTGCGCCATAGGTTGCGCCCTCGGCGTCCTAGATTAAAGCCGTCTCCTATCGGTTGCGCCATAGGTTGCGCCCTCGGCGGCCGAGATGAAAACCGTTTCCTATCGGCTACGCCATAGGTTGCGCCTTCGGCGGCCGAAAATAAACCTGCGCGTAATGGGTGCGCTATAGGTTGCGCCCACGGCGGCCGAGAATTCAGTCGTCGCGTAACGGGCCCGACCAGCTTGTTCAGTTCAGTTCAGTTCAGTTCAGTTCAGTTCAGTCAATTTACATCGTGACAAACAAATTCGGGCCACGCCCGAAAATAGGAACTACCCGTAACCCTATCTGCCTGCCGAGCACGGGTGAGCGTCTTCGGCCAGAGCCCGCGATCCAACCTTCGGGGGTATTTCTTTCGGGTGTTAGATAATTTCGCGTGCCCTGTGCAAAGAGCCCGTACATCCATTGACAGAAGATCGGCCAGGAAGGGAGGCCTGGGAGACGAGGGAGGGAGGGGGAGGAAAAGGGAGGGAGGGAGGGCGGGCAGAAAGAGGAGGGCGGAGGGAGCTCCCACACGGGACTCGTGGCCGCTTCCTGGGCGGAGCCCGCCTCCGGCAGCGGCCCGGGGAGGACCGGCGCGACGATCGGCGCGACGACCGTCGCGACGACCGACGTGACGCACCACGTGAAGACCGCCGCCACCGCCCCACCCAACGATCCACTCTCCCTGCTTCGCTTCTCTGATCCCATACATCCGCCGATCTGGTTTTTTCGATCCGCGGCCCCGGAGGTCCCGACCCCTTCCCCGGGGGGGGTTCGTCCCAGATCCATTTTGGATGTCCCCGGGTCCGATAACGGGCCCCAGAGGCCGAAAGCCAGGAAAAAACGGCAGGCTGGAAAAATCAGGTCCTCGGATCTGTGGGCTCTCACGCTCCCCAGCCCAGTGTCCCCAGCCCAACCCCGCTCATCCAGGACCGTCGCGTCCCCTGCTGCCGTGGCGCTCCGTTTTTCCATTCCCCGGTGGCGCCATTTTTTTTTTTCGTTTTCGAGTTTCGCTTTTTTCCGCTTTGAGTTCTCCGAGGGCGCCAAGTGCACATGGACAAAACACGCCCTGCGAGGTTTTGAGAAACAACTGAGTCCCCAGACCAGTGTCCCCAGCCCACCCTCGCTCATCCGCCGCGTCCCGTGTCCCCACCTTTCAGCCTTGTCTCCCTTGCCGTCGCCCACCTCCCGCTTGTCCTTCGCCCCTCGCCCTCCTCCCCACTATCCTTCGTTTCTCGCCAACTGCCTCCTGCCCCGCATGCTGGGTAGGGGAGGAGCGGGGGAGGAAGAGGCGAAGGGGGGGAAAGACGTGGGGAGGTGGATGAGGAGATCGGAGAAATGGGAGTGTTAGGGGGCGAAGAACGGTAGAAAATAAACTTTGCAGCCGCCCGGGGGGCAAGCGTCCTCGACGGCGGAAAAATAAATATGTTATTGTTTAGTACCGTCCGTCGCCCGCTAAGAGTGGGAGGGGGGGTGGACCGAGAGGGGCTGGGCCCGTCTCCCAGGGAGGAGAATGGAACAAGCAAGCCCTTGGTGGGTCTTGCTTAGGAAGGCGAGTGGACCAGCTGTGATGGTGTATTATCATAGGCGGTCCAGTGAAAACATGTCCTGTTACATGGGGCCCACATGCACTCGCAAGGTGTGGACCGCGCCGCCCCAGCAAGATTGGAGGGGCGGTGCATGCACTGCCTCTTTGTTTGGTAGGGGTGGCGGGGTCGCCCGCCGTGCATCCATTTTGTTCAATGGGACCAGTGTCAAGTGGCTCCCGAGGCCTGGTTCCTTGATGATGTTTCTCCTCTGTTCTTCGAATACCTCGCCATAAGGGCAGCACAAAGCAACAAAGCATGACATGTTAATGCTTGTCCAGGCAACGGCAAGTCAAAGCGAATAACGATGCCAGCGCGTGGGCCCCAAGCAGCTGATAGGCGTGGCACTGTGTGTAAATCCCCGTGTGCGGAACCCTATTGTGGAGCCTTGTGCACGCGGAGTCCTATGTGTGTATGTATGTGTATGTGCGTGTAGGATTATGTGTGTGGGGCGCCTTTGTGTGGAACCGTCTGTGTGTAGTTGCCTGTGTCTGTGTCTGTGTCTGTGTCTGTGTGTGGAATGCTATCTGGAATGCTACGTGTGTGGAACTCTTTCTGCGTTTTGAGCCCAAGGTGTGTGTGTGTGTGCTTGTGTGGGTGTCTGTGTCTGTGTCTGTGTGTGGAAACCTGAAGCTGAGGTGCCCAGGGTCAGTGGAGATGGGAGTGTACAGGAGTCCAAGCCGCCAGCGGCAGACGTTCTGCAGTGGATCAGGAAGCCAGAGGAGTCCGAGCAACTACTAGCAACAGTGCGACAGAAAGGACCAGTGGGCGGGAAGCCACCCGCAGAGGTGCGACAGACATGGCCAGTGAAGCGGGAAGCCACAGACATCCAGGTGGCCACGGGCAAAAAGGGCGACGGACAGGGCCAGAGGAGCCGGAAGCCATAAGAGACCAAGCAGCCACTGGCCAGAAAAAACAGACATGGCCAGAGCAGAGTGAAGGCATAGGAGTCCAAGCAACCACCGGCAACGAGACGAGCCACATGGAGCAGGAAGCCATAGGAGTCCAAGCAGCCACCGTACGAAGTGCGACAGACAGACACAGTTCTTTAGAGCACAGGTATGAACCCAGAACAAGGCCCTTCTTGTGGTAGATCAGCCAGCGCGGACTCCATAGAGATCAGAAAACCAACAACATCGATCATACCGACCTACGTACTCTACTCCTACCCTACTCGACTCCTATTCTACTCCTAGTGCACTCGACTCTACTCGACTCGACCCTGCTCTACTCAATGACAAACTCTACCGGGCTCTAGCGCACTCCACTCTACTCTATTCTAGTATACCCGAATTTTCTCAACCATCTACTCATCTCTATTATGCCGGATTCCATGTTACCCTACCCCACCCCAGCCTAGTTAAGTTCTTTATCTCCTACTCTTCTCGTACTCTCCTCTCCGTTGCTCTGCTCTACTCTATTTTACCTTGATATACACGGCTCTACTCTACCATCGACCCTTTTGTGTTCTAGTGTGCTCTAGCCTAGCCTACCCTACCCTACCTAGCCGATCCTACTCCGATTCTACCTACTTTACTCTGCTCTAAGTTTCTCTAGTATAACCGACTCTACTCGACCATCTACCCAACTCTGGGCTATTTCATTCGTTCCTGTTGTACTCTATCTATTCTACTCTAACATCTTCCAGTCTACTCTATTATGTCCTACTCTATTCCACACTACTCTGGTTGTATACGTGTGTATATACATATAGCTATACACATGTATAAGTGTGTATACGTATACATATGTTATTGTTTGTAAGTGTTTTATCTCCCCCGTGCCCCCTCTCTCTTTCCTGGCCGTCCGTTCCATAATCTCTCTTGCTCAAGCTCAGCAGGAGAACGCTTCTTCTTTCTTTGAGCATCCTCGGCCTGCGGGCGAGGAATAAGGGACTCGCACCACGATGAATAGGTGGTGCCTGGTGGCCTCGCTCTTCCACCTTGTGTTCAACGAGCGGCCTCCCTGGGCGGACGAGGGCGCCGCCGAGAGCGACGCCGAGGAGGTGAACTGGTCGCAGGGGAGATTGGACTTCCTTCCGGACGCTTTGTCCGGCGACGACGGGGGCCACTTCGGCGAGGAGCTGCTCTGGGGCACGGACATCGAGTCGGGCGCGATGGTGTGGAAAAAGTGGAATCGTGCCTACTTCCAGGCAGGCGATGGGTCGGCCGTATTCCTGATGCTGATGCACCAGGTGCCGGGGAAAGTCGGGACCCAGACGGTGGTGGACGGGCTGAAGCGGGTGCAGGTGCAGGACCTGCGTAGCGGACGCGTGCTCGCGAAGCCGAAGTCGAATTGGCAGTTGGGCCCATTTTGCGGGCTGGCTCGCAAGGAGAAGGAGAAAGCGGAGGCCGACTCGGTCAATCTGATTCGGAGGATTGCTGGAGACTCCTGGTTCTCGGCCCCTGCAGGTGGCAAGGAAAAGGCGCCTGGCAAAAAGGTCGGCGAGGGCGGGAACTCGCAGAAGTCAAACCTCGCGTGGTGGCTGCTGCAGAGCATGTTTACCCTGGGCGGCGCGGCGTGCAGCTACAAGTTCGTCGGGGCTTGTTGGCGTACAAGACCTGGGAGTTCTTCGGCGTCGGTGAGATGATTTATGACGGCATGAATCTCCTGAGGTCTGCGAGCGGGACGGCCATTCGGATCGCCGGCGCGTGCGACCACGTGGTGGAGCGCTGGGGGGACGGGGGCTTCGAGGGGCCCCTGCGGCAATGGATTACGCCGGACGGCTTCGCGACGGACTCGGACAGCGACGTCTCGGTCGACAAGGGCGCGGCCGCCTCGGACACTGATGACGACGGCGGGCTCATGCGACATCCCGGCATGAGGCCCCTCTTCGAGCAGCAGGCGGCGTTGCGGAGCCAGCTCAGCAAGCTGGCCGCAGGGCACGCCGGCTGGCGGCGATGTTCGAAGGCTAGATGCGACTCGGGAGGATGAGTCCGTGCGCCGGGGAATCGACAGCTCGATGGAGCGGCCGGTGGCCCATGAGCGGCAGATCTCGGAGGGCCAGGGCGGAGCAGGAGGTGCCGAGCGCGCGGCTCGGCGGCCTTCCATCAGTCCGGGAGGTCGTGCCGCGAAGGGCCTGGCCGTCAATGGGGCGGGCGGAAAGCCGGCCAAGCACTACGTCCAGAAGCTGGAGCAGGAGGCCAAGAATCCGAAGACCGCTATGCTGAATCAGCTAAAGCAGCACGAGAACGCGGACTGGAGCATCGGACCTTCTCAGGCGCGGATCGCGCCGACGGTGCTGGCTCGGATGTGCAGGCATGGGGCGTCGGCGAAGTTTCAGGTGCAGCAGTGCGCGAAGTCGAAGGAGCTGGAGACACGCCGCGCGGCGAGCGAGATGGCTCCCATGGCCGCCGCCCTGGACAGGATGCTGAGTTCGGAGCAGGACATGGTGAACAGCCAGGCCGTGGAGGTCATTTGCCGCCGACTCGACGGTCTCTTCCGCGCGCTCGAGGATGTCAGGAAGCAGAGCGATTGGAAGCAGCCGCGCGGAGTGAGCGGGAAGCGGTGGAAGAGCAAGCTCCAGCGGGAGCTAGCGGACGATCGCGACGCGGTTGCCCGCGCGAACGACGATTGAGCCATCGCGGACGCCGACGAGGAGGCGCGCAAACGTCTGGAGCGGAATGCCTGGTTCAAGAAGCACCTCGACAAGGCCTTCCCCGAGGGCGGCGACGACAGCTCTGAGCAGGGGTGCCCTGCCTCTCCAGCGGCGGGGGGGGAGGGCAGGCAGGTGCAGACGGTCGTCGCTTTTGTCTTGTGTTCTTCTGGTACTCGGCGCAGATCGCGGGCGTGGCCGAGTTCTTCGAGGGCTGGTTTAGGACCTTCGGCTGCGGCTGCGTGCGCCGCCAACTTTTTCGGCCAGCTGAAGGATTTGGCCCCTGTCGTCGGGAGCGCATGCTTCGAGATGTCCCCATCGCGGAGGCTCGCGGGTGCGGAGGCTCGGGCTCGAGATCCTCTGTGCAGAGTGCCCGGGGCGCCTTTCTGTTTTGGGGGGGACCTCGAGTGGGCGGGGTCCGCTGCGCTGGGTCGACTGACCCTGTAGCGCGTCAATCGGTCCGCGAA